ATATATATATATATATATATATATATAAATAATTCCTTATTATACCATAAATGAGAGAGCAAATTTTTTGTTTTCGATGATTAAACATAATATTTTAAGGACTAAAAACTAACATCGAAATGATTTTAGGGCCTAAATACAATAATTCCGTGATTTGAAATATAATTTAAGCAAGTTAGGCTGAGTTCATTGAGATGAAATTAACCAATATCCCTCGAGCTTTCCTAGTTACTTTCCCCTTCTATTATGCTTCATCTATATGTTGAACTATAGAAAGTTATTAAAATGTTATTCAACGTGAAAAAGGAAAATTAAAGAAGAGAACTTATATTTTCAATTTCCAAAAATAAAGAAGTTATACTATTATAGAAAAAGAATAATAAAAGTAAAAGAAAACAAAGTGTCAAATTTATAATTATGTATAAGTTCTTTATGTTGATTTTTTAATAATTATTTCGGTTTATGGGTCGAGGTGACTCTTCTCTTTAATAGGGTTTTCAAACTCCAAACACATATCAAAATCTTTTCTTAGTAAGAATGGAGAATGTGACAATTTTAGCAATAAATGAGTAATGAATGTAACCAACCTATCATCATACCTTAAACCTGTATTTATAGATTTTGGAATAGGATTCGAATTATCATCGACCTAGTTACGACCCAACTAGTAATAATCTTGCTTTGCTTTAATGTAAACATTCTTAACATTAATTTTTATTTAACCCAACCGTTTAGTTGGTCGACTGGCTCGTTTGGGGTTTCATGCTAATAAAACTGTCCGATCTTCTACTAATTGGACGGTCATACTATATAGTAATCTATATAAAATAGTATTGTTTACATAATTTTAATATTGAATTGATATAGAAAATTGTTCAAAAATATGAGGCTCAATAATTGATCTAAATTATAACCATGCATTTTTATTGAATTGAATAGGCAATTAAATAATAGTAACTAGTAACCAAATACAACCAAATGCAAATACAATCAAATATTAATTGATCTCATAGCAACAAAAAAAAACAGAAAATAGAAACTTCATAATTGCAAATAAACCCTAAATTTAAGTTTATTCTAACAAAACTCCTCCATAAATTTCAATTTTTTCGTCCTTAAACCATATCAGTTTTGTGTATTCATGGAACGATAGTGTAGGTGGTGACTTTGTTAACATGTAAACAATTTTCTCTCTACTTCCCACATGTTCTAACTCCATGCTTCCTTCCTTTACTTTTTCCTGGATAAAATGAAATCAGACATCAATGTGTTTGCTTATTTCGTGATTGATTGGGTTCTTTGCTAGCTCAATGATCG